CTGCTAGCTTAATCTTACCCAAACTAACTTTATCTTGACACGTAACAGGAGAAAAATACTTCAATTCTCTACTAAAAGCCTCTAATATCTTTATGTTGTCTACCATATTAAATTTAAATTCCTGCCTGATTTATGTGACTTTTAAGTAATCTGGTCCTACTTTTTTTTTCAATTGAGTCCACTGCTTAGAAATTCTCTTAGTGACTTAATAAAGATAGTAAATATATCCTACTGATTTGGTAAATCCTGCCTCCCCAAGGAGAATGTGAGCTTTACAAGGGAAGGATAATGTTTAGTGCTTCTCTTTATCTTTCACAGACTCTATAATAGTAATAAAAAGTTTCTAAACAATCTGCAAGATTTATAAATTAACTTAAGAAATAAGGTCAATTTCTAAATGTCTCTGGTATCTATTTCAAATCAATTGAAATCATTTTAAGTCAAAGGAAATAAAATTTCAAGGCAAAGAATTTATATGGCTCAAGAATTAAATTTTTGATGTCATCCCTATGTTAACTTTCTTTGCCCTTAAATGAGAAAATTAGCTCACTGTATTTTCTGAAAGACAAATACATTTAAATCATAAATTGCTTAAAGATTTCTTTTCAAATCTCTATTTCATTTAGCAGAAAAATCGCTTTCTGTTTCACAATAGTTGTGGAAATTCCAATGCACATCTTATAATCCCTTTTATAGTTATCTTCTGCATTGTCACTGCGTATGTCAAGCCCCCGTACAAAGTTGAATCATTTAGAATTTAGTAAAACTCAGATGGTGTTTGTATGTTTTGATTGTTTATAACAAATTTTCTTCAATCTGCTTTTTTTATAAATTTTTTTTTCTTATTTTATTTTGTTTTTGTTTTTTGGTGGGGGGAGAGTGGATAATTAGGTTTATTATTTATCTTTTTATTGGAGGTACTGGGGATTGAACCCAGGACCTCATGCATGGTAAGCAGTCACTTTACCACTGAGCTATACCTTCCCCCCAATCTACTTTTAAAAATGCATTTTTCTTAATGAATGGAAACTTCTGCTCACCTAAGAGCCACCTTATATTTTATCTATCAGTGTCATTATACTGTCACCGTTTTTGAGGTTTACTCACAAATTTCCAGCTGTCATTTTGTCTTGTGTAGAGGAATGAGTTAATTCATTCAAAAGACCTTGTGACAAGTTAAATCCATTGCTTTTAACACATCGAGATGTATTTGTTTTTCTTCACCACAGTGTGCACTCAAGTAAATGCTGTGCTGTTGACACCTAATACTTAACGTGTTGGAGGCCAATTCATTATTTTCACCCAGCAAGTTTCTCATTTTTCAAATACCCCAAAAGTCACAGTGGTACTTTTCCTTTTTTCTCCTTCACATAATTTGTTGGATATTTGTCTTCTCTGAATATCTTAAAAGTGAGTGAGATTATATATAGCAATAGAGATAGAGACAGAGACATCTCAGTCATGAGAAAATTCCAACTGTTTCTACATTTTGTTTCTATTGAATTAGTTAATATCTTGTTAGTAAAGGGGGATAAAAATCTAAGTCAGTAGAAATCTGGAAATGTGGGATCTCCTCCAACTCTACTAAGTGGTGATTGGAAGTAAGTACTTCAGTTGCTTCTCTTTGGTTCTCCATTCCTTCATCTGTATAATTAGATTACTGAAGTATCTCCCAGAGGTACTTTTAACATGGAAACTGATCATAATTAAGTCAGTGGGTGGTGGGAAGTCTGTGAGGTGCATCTTCAAGGCTGAGCAATCATGGGACTCCCACTAACAGCACTGCCCACAAACGTGGGTTTGTCTCCGATAATCACCTGCTACCTTGCACATAAATTTTGTATTGATAAACTAAAAGAACAACAGCTTTTAATCATAGTACTCGAGGTCTACTTATGACATTTATTATTTACATATGGATGATGAGAATTAGCATTTCTCCTCACAAGCATTTGAATTTTCCTGAATTCAGCCCCCTTTTTACTAGTGTGGAATAGGAAATCCATTTCATTCCCTGAAAGTGGAATGAGTTTAGGAATGGAGAAAGAAACTGTGTTCCTCTGGCAAGATCCCCTGGGCTGAGATGCCAGCTTCATTTTTCTTCATTGTTCAATGTTAATTTGGTTCAGCTTTGTTTGCTGCCAGTGCAGTGTCATTTGAAATCGAGAAAACAAGAAAAGAAACTGCATCCTAGTAATTCAATATATTTAGCACTTGGAGAATTGCAGACTCCTGAAGGTTTAATAATTTATTTAATTCTATTTATGATATAATCATTGGGGGGAAGAGCATTTTAAATTTAGAGAATATTAAACATATTTCTGTAAAATCCTCCACATGATGTTAACTGCTATACCTATCCAACTCGGTCAGTTGGCTCAGAAATGCATAGCTATCATGTTTTATCTTCTCACGTGGAATTTTTTAAAAATGTGAAAAATCTACCAACAAATATCTGCCTAAACAGAAGAAATGATTCTATTTTTATAACTTTCCATTGAAATTTAAATGTACAAACACATAATTATTTTGGAATAGATTCTACAATAGACTATACGGAGTACACATAAAAGGAGGTACTATTAGTAAAATTATGTTCTGCACGAAACTATTTGGCGTATGGAAAGAAAAGTTATTATAGTGATGTTTCCACTAATGATCTGTTTGGTTTACTGCCATAAAAGAATAAGAGCCTATTTTAGGCTTTTATTTCAGTTGCATAAAATTTCCCTCAGAGTTAGATTTGTTTAAAAGAATTTTCTGGAATAATAAGCCTTTTTGAAGAAATAGTGTTATTTTAAATACATTTTGAAAGAGGCAGTACTGTCCTGCTATCATTATATTAATTGCCACCCAACAACTTTCTCTCTCTCATGCTGCACACAAGTTAAACTGAAGCTTAGAGGCTGGTAGCAAGGCCTCAGGCTTAACTGGAGTCCTAGAGGAGAGAGCTGGTATGGTTATTTTCCCCACTGGGCTTGATACCACTTCAGGAAAAGTGGAGGGAAGTTTAAGGTAAATACCTAAAGGACCTGATGGATTCCAGTTAGAACTTGGCCTTCAGCTTCTATGAATCCCATTCCCCACAAGGGGAGAGTCTATCTGCTTCCTCCTGGAGTGCTTCGGTGAGGACCAGCTGGTCCCTCTGCACGGAGCTGCTGTGAGACAGCAGCCCTAGCATGTGGATTTCTCTGTGCTTCTGAAAATTTGAGTGCCAGGGAACTGAAAATTTGACTGTTGCCTCTTCTTAGACCAGGCATACAATGTTTTTGTACCTCTCTCCAGACTGCTTTCACCTCAGTCCAATTTTTTGGACTGAGTCTTAATCAGCAGGCTAAGAGAAAATTTTGTGTTTTTCAAACACAATGCTGTCATTAAATAAATGATTTCTAAAATTGTCAGGAGATGGGATAGAAATGACAGAAATTTAAGAGAAAAAAAAATCAGATAAAAGAAACAGACCCAGAAATGATAGAGATGTTAGAGTTTTAGATAAGTATTTCTGAATTACTGTTATTAATATGTTCATGAGTAGAGGGGAAAATACAGAGATTTGTACCAGAAAACTAGAATCTATAAAAATAGAAAAGCAGAGAAATTCTAAATTTGAGAAATACAATAACTGAAATTAAACTTTTAATGAATGGGTTTAAAAGCAGAATAGCAAACAGAAGAGACCAGTGAAGTAGAAGATGGTATAGAAATAAATATCCAGGAAAATACAGAAAAGAACAAAAGAGCTAATGGTCTGTCATTCACATAATTGGATTTGCATTAGAGGAGGAAGGGAATAATAGGGCAGAACAATAACTGAAACAATACTGGCTGTGAACTTTTCAAATGTGATCAAATCCATAGATTTAAAATTCTCTTTTTAATTGAAATTGTGTATAAGTTAAATTAAAACTTTTACTTTTGCTTAAAATATCTTCCTCCTCAGAGCAGTATTATTTGATTAAATTGCCTCTTTTTCTTTTTTCTTTTTTTTTCTGTTCTATTCTATCTGCTGAGGTTTTGTTTAGAGCAATCCTTGTTTATACTTACCCTCCTTTTCCTAGCATAAGTATCAAGAAACTCCCCTTTGTAATTAAAAGTGTTTGGTTCAAAGACCAGGGATCAATAAACTTTTTATGTGATTAGCTGAATAGTAAATATTTTAGGCTTTTCTGGCCATATCATCTGTGTCATAACTACTCACTTCTGCCATTGAACTACAAAAGCATCCATTAAAGAAACATAAACAAATGAGCATGTCTTTGTTCCAATAAAACTTTATTTACAAAACTAGATGTTGGGCTGATTTTAACCTGTGGGTCATAGACTGCTGATACCTGGTTCAGACCATAAATATGTGTTCCCTCAGTTTCTTAGCCTTTGTCCTATGACTTAAAGAAATGAATAATGCTTCAAGGAGAGAAGCAGCATAGAAGGTTAAACTCATTTTTCTATAGGGTCTTTCTCCTCTGTTGTAACCTTGAATTGCAATTATTTGTTCCCTTGGCTCCAGTGGACCACTGTAAATGTAGAGCTTTATTTATGTTTGCTTACTATGTTTCCTACTGTTATTAACCAACAAATACTTGGAAAGAAAGGTGGCAGAAAATACTGGACTCTTGTCAACACTTTTAGCTTCTCTCCAGGATCTTTACCCCATAAAATTCTGGGGCTTTCTTAATTGTAGTCTCTTACCTTTAAAGAGCTGTTTTTTGGTATTTCTTACAACATTTATACTTAATGCTTGAAGGGGCAAGTTGGTCTAATACAAGCTAATCTATCATAGTGGGAAGCAGAAGTCTTCAAAGGAAAAATAAAAAAAGTAATTTGCACCTTTTGAATAAATCAGCAAAATATAGAAGTAGAAAACTGTACTAACAATGAAATGACAAAAAAAGCAAACACTGAATAAGGAAGTAGAACTGAAGTCAAGTACATCAAATACTACAATCTGTACGGAACAGTGCTCAATCTTAATAACGTAAAATAAAATCTGAACAGTAGAATGAGATATTATGCTTTTGATAGGGAGATCAATGTGATGATATTATCAATTCTCTCTGAATTATATTACGCATTTAATGTAATTTCCAGTGGAATCACAACAGAATTGTTTTTTACTACAGCAAAATGATCTTGAATTCTTTTTTAAAATACATTTTTGTTAATATATTAGTTTATAATGTGTCAATTTCTGGTGTACAGCACAATACTTCATAGTCATATAGGAATATACATATATTCGTTTTCATTATCTTTTTAACCATAAGTTACTATAAGATAATTGAATATAGTTCCTGGGCTATACAGTATAAATTTATTGTTTATCTGTTTTATATATAGTAGTTAGTATCTGCAAATCTTGAACTCCCAATTTATCCCTTCCCACCCTTTTGAATTCTATTTGAAAAATAAAATTTTGAGAATAGCCAAGACAATTATAACAAAGAAAAATAGAAAACTAGCCTTATAAAATACTGAAACAATATAGTCTTCAGAATTTTTAAAGAAATTGTTATTGGTATAAGAATAGAAAATGCAAGAGTGAAACCAAGTAAAAAGAACAAATAGATTCCAGGGTACACATAACTGAAATTTTATATTTGACACTGTTGTACATTAATTTTGGGGGGGATATAATGGCTGATGTAACAAATGTGTTGACCCAACTGCCATTCTAAATAGGAAAAAATATAAAGATTATGATCTCATACTACTCATAAAAATAAATGAGATAAAATACAATGTAAATGTAAAAATTAAGCCTTTTATATTAAAATGTAAGAGATTAAAAGAATATCCTATTGGTTAGGAAGAATTTTAACCTTTTAAATTTAATCTTAATGTCTAAAAATCTAAAAGCTATGAAAAAATAAAGATAGATATATTTTACTATGTATTTTTAAAAATATATACTGCATCACAAAATACACCATAAACAAAATTAACATGCCTATTATTGATTAAGGTTAACGTCTGCAACTGAATTA